GGCTAAATCCTGCTTGCTTTCCCTTAAAGGATCCCCCCTCCCTGTCCACTTCCAGCACCATAAAGAGGAACAGTGCTGATTTCCACTGGGGAGGTTGGAAAAGCTGAATGAACAGGTCCTGGCAGCTTTAAGGCGTTGAAATGATCCCTGCCGTCCGGCACCCCTGGGGGAGGGACTGATGCTCTTCATGTTTCATTCTGCCTCTCAGATGTAGAACCGATTTCTACTGAGCTTTCTGTCTGCGTTTTTTTCTATTTTTTTTAAAGCAATTTGTTAAAATCCATTAAAAGCAATCCTGCCTGGTTTAATCGGATGTCATTTTGCATCTTTCAAAAGAGACTCCGTTCTAGGTGGCTGTTTGTTGATGTGACTATATCGAGTTCAGTGTCTTCTTAACTACAGGAGTAAAACTGAAACAAGCAAGAAAAGCTCATCTTGTTCAGGGTGTCTTTATGAGTGGGGAAGCTTGGGGAGGCAGAGGAAGCTGGCTTTGGATGGGACATGGCTATTGGAACTTTAAATTCAGGATGTGTTGGGGTGGAATTAAGGAGCCAAATTGTTCAACGTGCAATACAGGCTGTCCTCTCTGGCAGTCCAAGATACGTTCCAAAAAACTTGGACTTACAGCGAAACAAAAGCGGGGAGTTGTTGAAGTGGCTGACTTCTATTGGCGCAAATTGGGGGCTTTTTGGCGCGACTTCAGAGTGGGGAAGGGGAGGACTTCTAGCGCATCAGTTCCTACAAGCGTCAGCAGTGTTAGTGCGGAACGGATGTATCCCGGGACGCCCTGTACACTTGGGTATAGAGACTGTTTTTGTTCCCTCTACAGAGCATTTTACCATTTGCACTAAGCGCACGGGGCATCCCTTGGGACCCACCGATGCTTGTGAGTTGGCTCTTAAGATAACACACGCCTTTGAAATTAAAAATCAAGAGGGTCTCCCAGTGTCACGCTGTGACTTACATTGACGGCCAGAAGTATTGATAGTTCAGAACCTACAGGTAAACGTGCTGCTGTGCCCTAAGGAGCAGTAACAGACTTTCTCTCAGTGCGCCGCCTGCGATTGTATTTAACTCGGTCGACAAAAGAGCAAACCATGGATTAGAAAGTTTCGCTGTAGTTAAACAGCAAGCAATATTATGGGTGGCTGATATATCACATCACACCCTGCTCAAGAGAGGAAGAGGGATTCTGTAGAGGTGGATCTGAATGTACAGTCGGCAGCAGAGGTATGGCATTCACAGTCTCCAAATGGCTTTCAAGGAGGGAGATAAATTATTGTCCAGCTACTCAAGCTCCCTTCCTGTTGCAACTCAAGTTAGTTTCCCCTTTTTCCTCTGCTCCCACTCTGGTTTCTGTTAGGGATGTAACAGTGTAGTTGATTGGCTGTTAAGCAAAAGCTCATTAGTTAACGCTATAGTGTTTCTCAGCCAGTGGTACGAATACCCTTAGGGGAGGGGGGAACGTCAACACAACTGAAATTCGGAAGGAACGGAATTTTTGTGTTAAGTTTTACAGCGCTTTATTATTTTTGTACTTTTTACACCCCAAAATTTCATTGCCCGCCCGGCTATGATTGAGTTGTTTAAACAAATGTGTTGCAATGGTAGGAAAAAAAAATGTGTCTGAAAACTGTAGGTACTGGGGGTACTTATTATTATTATTATTTATTATTTAAAAGGGGGGGTACTTAATAAAAAAAAGTCGAGAAACGCTGCTATAGACTATGTGCACCCCACCCACTGCTAGTACATTTTTTAGCAGGCTGGCCAGCAGCCCAGCTCAGTCCTGGCTTGCGCCGGGTCTGGCAGCTCAGACCCCCCACCCTGACAGGGGCTGCTGCCACCCTGTGCTGCTGCCTCTGTATCAGAGGCAGCAGCACCGAGTGGCAGGGGGCTCCTCCCAGTGAGGCTGGAGCACACTGTCTGCTGACCCCGCCCCTGGGGACAATAGACTAGTCGAGTAACCAATAAGATTTCATGAGGTTAATCGACTAGTCAATTAACCGATATTTAACATCCCTAGTTTCTGTCTTGCCCATTACAGAGCAACAGCTAGCTCTGGATGTGCAGGGTCTGCACTCAGCTCAGCACCTCTCTTGCTTTGGAGCAGTTTAAAGTATGTGAACCCAGGCTAACCCAGGCGCTGCTGCGCTCTCATGCTGCGTTTAGCTGTTGGTTCCCGCCAGGAAGGCAATGGCTGCTGAGCCAAACCCTCACTGATGTGGCCTCTGAGAAGGAGAAAGACCCTCCCCATGTTCCCTTTGCACCCCAGGACCTAAGCTAGTAGATTTCATGTGCTTCAGCCCTGGGGTGCGGCAGCAGGGGGGCTGGAGCGCCAGCGCGGGCTCCCCAATGCTAGAGGGAAACCCTGAGCCTCGGGGGCCAGATCCAGGCAAGCTGGGGGCCGCATGTGGCCCCCGGGCCTGAGGTTCCCCACCCCTGATGTCTGCCTATAATTGCCAAATCTCAGTGGGGTCGCCATGTGAGTCTGTATCTGCAAAAACGACGATGAGTCCTGGGGCAGCTAGAGGCTACTGATGTCTGCCTATAATTGCCAAATCTCAGCGGGGTCGCCATGTGAGTCTGTATCTGCAAAAACGACGAGTCTTGGGGCAGCTAGAGGCTATTAAAAGCTTATGCCCAAATAAATCTGTGGGTGAAAACCACTTCATCGGATACACGTCGTCATTTTACCCGTAAAAGCTTATGCCCAAATAAATCCATTAGCCCTTACAGTGCCACGGGACTCCGTGTTTTTATAATTGCCAGAGAGTCTTCCTTTGTCAAGTAAATAGCTGGTAATACCCAACAGAGGCCCGTCGTGAGGCCAGTGGTACAAGAGTGTTAGGCTTGTTCAGAGCGGCTAGGTGAGGGGGTTACTCATTTCTACCCCCTTTAAGGCCCTTCCGTGCTGCCAGAACCGAATCCGGTCCAGGATCTCTCGAATGTTTGCAATATGTGGAAATGTAGTTTGTAACTACAAGCTAGAGAGCTGCATTTCTTAGGTCTG